TCAATCTCAAAAAACAAAACAAAACAAACAAACAAAAAACCCAATCTCAATCTCTTCACCATCCATCCTGATGCTGCCAAATGGTCCAGTGGTGAGAATCTTTGTCTTCTTGACAGTGAGCCTCAATCCATCCTGAAGGCTGCAGTCCTTGACCCTCTGCAGCAAGCATTTTGGGTCCTCCTCAGTTTCAGCAAGCAGGGTTGTGTCATCTGCATAACGCTGATTGTTAATAGATCTTCCACCAATTCTGACACCACATTGCTCATAGAGCCCAGCCTCTCAGATAATCTGTTCTGCATACATGTTGAAAAGGTATGGAGATAGGACACATCCCTCGTGTACACCTTTCCGTTTTGAACCATGTAGTGTTTTCCTGCCCTGTTCTGATGACTGTCTCTTAGTCCAAGAATTGGTTTCACATTAAAACTATCAATTGTTCTGGCATTCCCATTTTTCTCAGAGTCAGCCACAGTTTGTAACATACTTTGTATATTTTGCCAGAAGGGACCAGTCCTTGGAGAGGGATATCATGCTTGGAAAAGTGTAGGGACAGAGCAAGAAAGGAAGACCCTCAATAAGGTAGATTGACTTGCTGAATAGAGTAATGATGGTAGGTGTGTCAGAGACAATGAAATTGGCTCAGAATAGGGCAGGGCTCAGAGCTGTTGTACATAGAGTTTCTATGAATCGGAGTCAACTCTACGGCACATAGCAACAACATCGCATTGGGAAAATCTGCTGTCAGGAACCTCTCCAAAGTCCTGAAGAGCAAGGACATCAGTTTAAATATTAAAGTGTGCCATGGTCTTGTCTTTTTTTTAAATTTTAAAATAAAAGTTAACTGTTAGATAGATCATGGATACTTCCAAAAATTATCTGCATTGTAGTTTCTTCTCACAGATACAATAAATTTTTCTGTGAATAAAACAAAACCACGCAGTTGCTCTATGAGGCGTTTACAACAATGTGAGCCTTTAAGTGAGCCATAGTCTTTTTTGTAATGACCTTTTGCATTCTTCATGGATGATATTCTCGATATCCTTCCACAGCTCACTGGTCTTCGCTCACTGGTGTTCAAGACCTCAAACCTGTTCCTGTGACGGTTTTGAAATTCAAGTGGAACCGACTCAAGATCAAATTTTGATTCCTGTGGTTTATATTTCATTTTATTCAACTTCAGCTTGAACTTGCATATGAGTAGTTGGTGATCTGTTCCACAGTCAGTACCTGGCCTAGTTTTCACAGCTGATAATGAGGTTCTCCAGAGATTCTTTCCACAGATGTAATAGATTTGATTTTTATGGGTACCATCAGGTGAAGTCCATGTGTATAACCTGTGTTTGTTTCTCATAAAAGGTATTCGCAATGAATAAATCATTGAATGTGTAGAATTCTATCATTCTGTTTATAGCTTCATTACTGTCAGCAAGTCCATGTTTTCCATCTACTGATCCTTCTACCCTGTTCCCAACTTGCCTTCCAGTCACCCATTGTTATTAATGGATCTTGATTGCATGTTTAATCGATCTCTGACTGCAAAAGTGGGCAGAAATTATCCATTTCCTCCTCTTTGGCTTTAGTTGTTGGTGCATATATTTGAATGATAGTGGTATTCACTGAACTTCCTTGTATGTGTATGGATATTAGCCTGTGAATCACCACACTGTATTTCAAGATGGATCTAGAAATTACTTTTTTAATTATGAAAGCAACCCTGTTTTTTTTCACTTTTTCATCTCCGGCATGTTATGGTTGTTGATTGCCTTTGAGTCTAGCATGACTCATAGCAACCCTATGAACAAAAGGCCTGAAGCCCCTCTACAATTATCCACATTTATCAAAGTTCATAGAGTTTCTGGAGGCATGTTATTTAGGAAGTGGATGCCACTCCTGCTTCCAAACCTGTCATAGTATGTTACTGTTTTTATGTGCCATTGAATCGCCTGCGATGTATAGCAACCCTTCCCTGTCCTGAGCCAGTCTCACTAACTTCGACACACCAACCCTCATCGCCCCAGTTACTGTATCAATCCACTTAATCCAGGGTCTCCCTCTCCTGCACTGTCCATCCACCCTTCCAAGCATGATGTCCTTCTCCAAGGACCAATCACTCCTGGCCATGTGCCCAACGTAAGTGAGGCAGAGCTTCAAAATCCTAGCCTCCAAGGAGAGACTTGGTTTCACCCTTTCCAAACCAGATCTATTCATTTTCTTGGCAGTCCATGGTATGTTCAAGACTCTTCTCCAGGCAAGCTCTGGTGGCCTAGTGGCAAGAAGCTGCACTGCAATCCCAGAAGTACGTGGTTGGAATCCATCAGATGCTCTGCTGGAGACGGAGGGACAATCTCCTCCTGTACCAGTCAGATCTGTTTTGACGGTGCACACACACACACACACACACACACACACACACACACACACCCTTCTAGCCAACACAACTCAAATGTATCTATTCTTCTTTTGTCATCCTTAGTCTATATCTCCAGCATAGTAGATCATATTATCATCTGATTTGCTTGGCTCCACAATCAATACTCTTGGTACCAGCAGCCAGGAAATCAAGAGATGAAGTACATTGTGAAAGTCAGCTGTCAGAGACCTCTACAGAGTACTGAAGAGGACTGAGGTGTGGAGACTAAGGTGTGCCTGATCCAGGCCATAGTCTTCACAATTGCTTACTATGCGTCAGAAAGTTGGACTATGACTAGGGATGATTGAAAGAGAATTGATGCCCTTGGGCTGTGGTGCTGGAGAAGAGTGTTGAATATAACATGGACTGCCAGGCGAACAAACAAACTCTCTAGGTTTGTCTTAGGGTGAAGCCAGGCTGCAGCTTGGAGGTAAGGATTCTGATGCTTCATCTGACATACTTTGGGCATGTTGCAAGGAGGGACCAGTCCTTGGAGAGGGACATCATGCTTAGAAGGGTGGAGGGGTGGAGAAAGAAAGGGAGACCATCGATGAGATGAATTGATACAGTGACTGGGGTAATGAGGGTGTGTCAGAGACAGTAAAGTTGGCACAGGACGGAGCAGGTTTCAGGGCTGTTGTACATGGGATTCAATGGCACATAACAACAACAACAACATGGGTTATTTTATTATTTGTTATGCATATTAAAATTGGATCTTACTGAGAATGACAGAAGAAGAATCGAAGTTTTTCAGTTCTGGTGACAGAGAAGAGTACCATGGACTGCCAAAGGAGCAAACAAGTCTTCATGGACAAAGTGTAACCAGGATGCTCCCTGGAAGGAAGGAGGTGAAGCTTCATCTTACATACTTTGGTCATGCTGTTAGGAGGGTGGGTCCTTGGGAAAAGATAATATGCTTAAAAGGTGCAGGGGCAACATAGGAAAGAAAGACCCTCAACAAGATGGATTGACATGAAGACTGTAAGAGTGGGCTCAAGTGTATCAGAGATGGTGAGAATGGCACAGGATAGGGCCAGGTTTAAATTTGTAGTTCATAGAGTTGCCTACAGTTGTCTGGGGGGCATATAATAACAATTCAAAGGATCAGCTCTTGGGAGTGTTAGCATAAGGGAAGGAGACAGTGTTCATCTGTATAGAGTGGAGTTGTAACCCAGAAATAAGATTAATGTTATTAATGTATTTATATTATTAATGTACATTCTCCACTAGGGGGGCAGTGTGGGAAAGTGTGTCAGAAAAGGTTAATATGAATCCAATAGCAACATCATGGTAGATGAAAAGATACACATTTTCAATGATTTCGTTTTACTTGGATCCACAATCTACTCCCATGGCAGCAGTCAAATCAAAAGATTGGGGAAATCTTGCTGTCAAGAACCTCTCCAAAGAACAAGAATGCCAGTTTAAAGCCCAAAGGGAGCCTATCCAAGTCTTGGCTTTTTCAATGATGGAGGGGGGATAGATAGATGCTGTTGTTGTGTCCTGTGGAACTGGAACCAGCCCAAAGCTGATCCTTCAGTGGATTTTCAGAGGCAGTTGAAAGTATTTCAGAGGCATTATCAGAGCTCCGTGGTAAGGGGATAGGGAGGGAATATCTGGTGATAAGGGAGGTCTGGTGCCTAGTGGTAAGAAGCTCCACTGCAATCACATGAGATTCAAATCCACAGCTGTTTGATGGGGAAAAGGATGGGCAATCTTTTGTACGATTAACTGCCTCTGACAACCCACTGGAGGGTCAGCTGTGGGTCGGTTCCAATTCAATGGCACACAACAACAAAAGTGACCCCCAGAATTTTGAGGCAGGAGCAAAATCTCAGAACCCACTGGAGGGTCAGCTGTAGGTCGGTTCAGACTCGAAGGCTCGTAACAACAAATATGAATCCTAGACTTTTGAGGCAGGAACAAAATCCCACAAAGATGTATTGTGTTGTTGGTTATCTAGCCCAGAATGGGCAAATTCAGCCTTCAATCCAGGGATTCGCGCAAGGAGGAAATCAAAGCTTCTAACTCCATCATGTCCTCCGTTCTGGCCAGAGACTACCAGGACCATAATGCAATGGTGCCCCGAACCAATGAGCCACCGCTCCCCGCACAATCGCCGCGAACCCCAATTCCCAGCGAGCACAGCGCCGCCAAGCCCGTACAGTCTAGTAGACTCAGCAAACGGCAATTCCTGCTCCTCCGCCTCGAACTGTCCGCTTCGCTTGCAAAAGCCCCGCGGTCAGACCCAGAATTCCCCGCGGGACAAAGATGGCCGTGGCGACAGCGGAAGTGGAGGTGAGCGGGTCCGGGGTTCGTACGCTCTCACGGGCCGTTCTCCACCAAAGCTGTAGGTCTCAGGAAGGAGAATTCATGGCCCTGCGTAACATAGGCGTGTTGACCTTTCTCGTTGTGGTCATAAGGACGTCCCTGTAGAACTTTTACCCTGATCGGCAACCCCAGAATTCCTCAATCCTGACCCGGCTCCTCGGGGAGGGCCACAGAGTGTCACCTCTGCGTTCGAAGGAGGCACGGCGCCAGTCCGGCGGGTTCCGGTGTCTCGACAGGTGCGACTGTGAGCGCCCCGATGCCTGCGGGCGCGGGGAGGCGTGGCCTCCCCCAGGGCCTGGGCCTCTGCTGGCTGCTCTGCGCCTTCCCCTTAAAGCTCTGGTAAGGAGGAGCCCAGGGAGGAAAAGGAGGGGACCAAGAAAGCGGATCCCCCCTGCGCCTCCAGGTTATGGTGGGGAGACTTTGTGTCCTTGGGGGGGTTCTCAGATTCTGGTTTCTAATGTATGCTCCCCGCTCGTCTCTCCCCTTCTCCTCTGCAACCCCGTGACTCCCTGCAGCCAAGCAGAGTCTCCGGTGCGGGAAGAGAAGCTGTCAGGTCAGTGAAACCCGATGCCTGCCCCAGTTATTTTTTGTTCATTACGTCTTCTCATTTACCAAAAGCACAGGTAGAAAAGGCAGTAACTTCTGGGAGGTTGGATGGTCTTTGTCTTCGTGAGAAATGTTCTCTGAATTTCTCTCCTCTTGTAGTGAGCACTTCAAACTTGCCCTGCTGGCTGGCCGAAGAGTTTGTGGTGGCTGAAGAGTGTGCCCCGTGTTCTAATTTCCAGGCTGTGAGTATCTCTTTTGTCTCCTTTATTTCTCATATTCAGCCTGCGCCTTGGTCTTACAGCGAGTGCCTTTGCATTATCTTTTTTTCCCCTAAAAATGTGCCTATTTCTTTTCAAGTAGTGGTATTATTCAGTTGATTACTGTGTCTTGTTCCTTTTTAATCCAGCGGGTTCAATAATCTGTTACCTCCTTTCCTAGAATATTGTCCTTGAAGTAAAATACATTACTATGTAGCCACCATTTCCACCATCCCCATCAAAATGCTGCATTTCCTTCTGTTACCTGTTAACCTGAAGCATAGCATCAGGACCCCTGTCCTTTCTGAGTGGCAGCCGGTCTGCTTCTCTTAGCTGCCGCTTTGTAAAATTATGCCCTTTGGTCATTTTCCTCCCACAGAAAACCATCTCTGAGTGCAGTTCCACAGGGTATGTGGAGAAAATCACATGCAGTTCATCTAAAAGGAATGAGTTTAAAAGGCAAGTGCTGTTTCTCTTCCCTCAAAACATTTCTGTTAACTTTAAGCATATATTCCATCTTTTCTGGCATGGAGATAATTGGAGTCAGATTACTTGCATATAAGTCTCAGACCTCTTCCTTAGCTCTATGAAATTGGCTAGGTTTGTTTTTTTTTTTAAAATCAATAAAATCAGTTAATGAATGGAGCGCTGGTGGCCTAGTGGCAAGAAACTGCACTGCAATCCCAGAGGTGCGCGGTTTGAACCCACCAGATGCTCTGCTGGAGAAGGAGGGACAATCTTTTCTTGTACCTGTCAGATCTGATTTGATGGTACACACATACACAATTAAAAAAATCAGTTAATGGTCCCTCTGTATGCCTCACTGTTGTTGTCAGGTGCTGTGTAAATCCATCAGGCTGAGGGTCTTCCTCTCTTTGACCTTACTAGTGAATTAACTAAATTTGAGAGGGATTTATGTACTTTCATCCCCTCAGTTCCTATTGGGTATATGTTGATTACAGTGATGTGGAAGGCACCACAACAAGATAAAGGTAAATAACCCAGTTGAAAATGGGCACAGGATATGAACAGACACTTCACCAAAGAAAACATTCAGATGGCAAACAAACATATGAAGAAATGTTCAAAATTCCTAGCTCTAAGAGAGATGCAAATCGAAACAACTATGAGATATCATCTCACCTCAGTCAGAATAGCAAAATTTAACAAGCAGCAAACTTCAAATGCTGGTGAGGTTTGTTGTGGAGAAACTGGAACCCTTACTCACTGTTGGTGGAAGTGTAAAATGGTGCAACCACTATGGAAGGCTGTATGGCACTTTCTCAAAAAGTTGCAAATATAAATACCATTTGACCCAGCAATTCCACTACTGGGAATATACCCTAAAGAAACCATAACTGCCACCAAAGCAGATATATGCACACCCGTGTTTCTTGCGGCTTTGTTCACAATAGCAAAGAGCTGGAAATAACTTAAGTGCCCATCAACAAACGAATGGATAGAGAAGCTGTGGTATATTCATACAATGGAATACTATGCTATACTGAAAAACAAGAAACTCATGAAATATTATGCAAAATGGGTGACCCTGAAGGACATTATGTGGAGTGAAATATCTGAGTCACAAAAGGACAAATATTTTATAGAGCCACTGTTGTAAAATGGGGCTGACATCAGGGTTGAGGGAAGATAGAAGAAGGGGAGGAATGATGTATACTGCATTGAAACAGATGAGGGAGAGAACTGTTTAAAAAGGATATATGATTGGGTATTCTTGTCATTACAGAAGTCCAGAATGAAGGCTGGACAGTGGAGTGGACTTGGGGGGAGGGATTGCATAGCAATGAAAGAGTTTTTCTTTTACTTTTCTTTTTTATTTTATTTTATTATT